TGCCGTAGTTAGAGCCGAGCCTGCCGCCGATCTTCTGCACAACTTCCCGAAACAGCTGGGTGTTCTCGCCTTTCTTGATCTCGTCGTAGGCCATCCTGAGCGCTTCCCTCTCCATGGATGGGTTCCCGCAGTGGACGGCGATGAAGATGAGCCGCGTTATCTTAGTCCTCCCAGAGTATAGCCCCGCATAGGCTTCGATGTCGAGCTGCTCGCCACTAATAATCGGCCTGGTATGGCTCGTATCGTCGCCGCCGTTGGCGTAAATCTCGTCGTCTGCCTCCATTGCTGCCGATGGAGCAGAGCGAATTTTGGTGGGGTTAGGGTTTTGGGGCTGGGGAGTATTTTTCTGGGAGGGAAGTTCCGTGGTAAGCAATCGAACTTACGGGGACTGTACCGTCTCTCCCTCTTACACTTGGTTTTCTCCCATGACTTGAGGCGGTGGAAGGTTTTGTGTTTGCAGAGTGTGGGAAACGACGTCACAAGGTTACTACGTCGTTTCCGTTTGATCAATTGGCATTTGGTTGGGTCAAGGCGTGGGTAGGGGTGGGAAACGGTGCGGTTGCGATTAACTGCACCGCAATTTGCGGTTAACTGCAACCGCAAAACACTCATATTAGCCAACCGCGACCGCGTCCCTCACGGTTAGCGGTTAACCAAAAACCGCAGAACGCGGTTAACGGTGAACCGCGGTTTCTGGTTGTAAAAACCGCAACAACCGAAACAGTACACCAAACCGCGGTTAAGCGAATTAACCGCGAACTAACCGCAAAAATACATGGAAAAAAACACAGCAGCTACTGTTTTGTCTATTTTCACTTCCATCAAGCCCCTGTATCTGACGACGGCGCGGGAAGATGGGAAGGGTCGAAGGGAAATGGATTTTCGACTTTCGTTTCGTCAAATCAAAACGACGGCAAAAGGGAGAAGTGGGGGAGGGGCTGGGTCGGGTTTGGGCTGCTGGGTTGGGGGTCTACTTTGGGCTGGGTTGGGGGGTCAACTTTGGGTTGGGCTATGGGTCAACTATGGGCTGGGGCTATCTCGCGGTTAGCCTTGCGGTTATATGGATTTGCGGTTTCGGTTGCGGTTAAACCGCAAAACAGTCCATATCTCCAACCGCGACCGCAAAATCGACAGAATATGCGGTTTGCGGTTAACCAATAATCGCACGGTTTCGGTGCGGTTATCGATTTAACCGTGAAACCGCAACCGTTTTCCCAGCCCTAGGCGTGGGTCAGTAAAGGAAGTGTTTACAAAGTAAATAATGACAGATGATGACACTCTAGAGTAGTGGAAAGAGTTCATGTCATGCCACAAGATTAATAAAACATGACCCTCCAAACGTGTATAAAAAGAGTAAGTCTCGAAGGCAATCGCAGTTTAGAGGTTCATGTCGCCTCACGAGAAAGGCTATGGTCGTCTAGAAGTTCATGTCTTCTCAATGAGAGGGCCATGGACACATCTGAGAAGTACATGGCCACGAATTAAGAGGTCATGCCATGAGATTAAGCCTCACGACCAAGACCGAACGCTAAAAAATATACTAAGTTTGGGAAGACCATGCCCTCTCAAGAGAGGGGTCATGGGCACGAGTGAGAAAAGACTAGCATGACACAAGATTTGGAACAAGATTGGCCGAGGCAAGCTACCCATGACAGTTTCAAGAGAGGTACCTAAGTCACATTCTTAGGAAGTAGGGAGCAGTTCCTTTTGGGAGTTATCCAAGCGGTGGGTTTTCTACGATAGTTATCTCCCCATGGCTATAAATAGGAGGAAGAGTCGACAGAGATAAGGGTTCCCCAAACCACACAACTAACGCCTATGTCAAGTTTTATTATTTCTCTGCAAGTAGCCATAGTTGTAGTTTAGAGCTTTTACTAAATCTTCATAGGAGTAGAAGTAATTTAGTGTAGTTCTTGTTCCAAAAACTATTAATCAAACATCCTCATTCACACTGTGTTTGAAGAGGTGTGAATAATGTTTAGAATCGTTTGGGTTAGAAGTCAAATGTGCAATCAATTTCATTCAACGCAAGTTTTCTCGTCAGAAAACAAATTGGCAAATCCAATGGGACCTTTGTGTTTAACTTAATGGCACCACGATAGAGGCAACAAGAAGATGATCTCTCACCTGGGCTTGTGAGAAGCAAGTGGCTAAGGTTGAATTTGGCCAAGACACAGAGGGTATTGCCGGAAATAATGGCATGGTGTAGACTTCGTCACCAGCGGCACCAAGTGTTGATATAACCACCAATATCATGTTACTTCACCTTATGGTGGAGGAAAACCACAATGTGATGGCGGAGAGTTGTCTAGCCTCGGAGGAGAACCGCATGTTGATGGTGGAGAACCTTCATCAAGCCTTTGCGAGAAGTACCCATAAAAGTAAGTTCTCAAATTGATTCTCTCAACTCTCATCAAGATAGGCGTCTTATAGTCAACTTATTGAGTTGTGTGACGAAAATAGAAGCGATTTAGCGAGTTGACACAACTATTAACTAAACGAGTGGCTCAATTAATGGCTCTGCCACTAGATGGTAAAGAGCCAACAATAATAGTGTTATTTGGAGTACAAACTCTCATATTGGTGGTCGGAATGTACAACTATGGTAGGAGAGCTTGTCAATGCCATTGATAAGCCAACCACGTACCCCCTCAACGCTAGAGTTGTGGTGAGAGATCTGCCTCCTCAGTCGACACCCAAGACGGAGACTTGTCTGAACAAGTTGTGTTCAACTGCCCATTATAGATATTATACCATCTATGACACCTTTCAATGAAGTAGTTGGTGGAGATTCATTCAAATTGGACCAAGTACTAACGTATGCTTGCCCACTCCTAATGCCACCCCTAGTGAGTAGGCAATGATAGGATTTTTATGGAGTAAAACCACCTAGATCCCAACAAGGGGGCACAGAAATCTACCACCCCACAAGCTGAAGCAGAAATGTTCAACTGAGGGCATGTTATGATGTCCAAAAGGCCACAACAATCACAAGTTACACGTGTTTGTGATAAGCCTACTAAGATTGCTAAATATGGACAGAAGGGCATGCCACCAATCATTGATAATGGTCATGACAACATACTAACAAAACGCAACATGAGAAAACCACAAAAAAAAATCATTGGACGTTTTGGGGTGGATCGAGACTTAGGAGCCAATGTCACGCTTACGGCGTTAACGAAGCGCTTATTAGGAGGCAACCCAACCACTAAGGTTTGCATTTCTTTTCACTTTGCTTTGGTTCCCCAGTAAATAATTCAACCTTTGAGAGCTTGCGTTTTTTTGGGGACGTTACCTTGCTCTTTTGGATCTCACCCGACCTCCAACTCCCTCTACCGTTATTCACACCTAATTCAGTAACTTTGTTCTACCCTTCTTATCTTTCCTCCATTGAGGACAATGTCGTGCTTAAGTGTGTGTATGGTGGGTATAACGGGGCGGGTATACACATTTGGTTAGCGGGGCGGGTATCCCTAAGAAAATGATCACCAATTAGAAATGCTCTCCCTTGAATCAAAATCTGGAATCAGCAGAAGCATATACACATTCTCACCCTGAAATTGGCCTTTCGGAAACAATGATCACTCGCTCAGTAAATAATTACCCACAATAATTCAAACAACAACTAAAAATTCTCGAAAATCAAATCTTTGAACCGCCAATTGATACGTCGATCGTACTTAATCAATGCAGTAGTTGAACTTGCAAATCACCTGCCTGGCACTGGCAGGCAACTAAGACAGCTTCCTAATTCCTCCAACGTGGCCGATTACCAGCCTCTTTGTTACAAAGTATTAATTGAAAGACAGTACTACACCACTCCCAGCTCCAAGACTACTAATATAGCATAGCAAATTGTTGGGTTTAGTAGCCCAGCAAGAAACGCACATATTAATATATAAAAGCCTTGGTTACAATCACTGTTCATTAGTGGCTCCCACTCTCTCCTCTGCGACTGGCCTTCTTCCACTCGGTTTCCCTTCATTCGCCCACGTCGCCCACTGCTTCTCTCACACAAGAATCTCCCAATCCCTATTACCCCACTCGCCAGAGAAAAAACCTTGGTCCTTTGCTTTACCCGCCGGATCTTTATTTCCCTGACGGCCACTCGCACGATTGACCTCGCCTGCCATGCTTTCGCTCTCCTCTTCTGCTTCTTCCTGTCTCCTCCACACCCAGAACACGCTACCTTGCCATCTCCTTCTCCTCCGTTCCGCACGCTAGCTGCTCCTCTCCCTTCCCTTTCTTTCCTCCGCTGCAAAGCACCCAAACATTTTCCCCTTCTCACCGGAATCCCAAAACTCTCGACAGAATCTAGGTTTGCTGCGCTCTGTCCTACCGAATCCCTGAACTCCCACGAAATCGCCGCCTTGCCGCCCTATCGACTGTGTCCACGCCCGCGGCCGTTGGCATCTGCCGCTGGAGTTTCACCTTGCTGCATCTGGTACGTTCCTTCCCCTAATCCCGCCGTTAACTCCTGGATTTCCTCTCTACTAATGTACAATCGACTCATCTAGCTCCTCCTTCTCTTTCCTTCCTCCACTGCAACACACCCAGGATCTCCCCCTTCTTACCAAACACTTTCGACGGAATTCCATATCTGCTGTGCTCTTTGCTGTCGACGCCACAAGCTTCCTCGAAATGGCCATCGGTCGCCACCATCTACGACCGCCGCTAGAGATTACCCTTGCTGCATCTGGTATGCTTCTTGCCGTAATCGCATTGTTATGTTCTTAATTATCTCCCTGATTGGGAATTGACTCAACATTGTCCCGCCACTCCCACTGATTGCAAAGTCATCAGTCCATGAGGTTTCTATTGGAATGGTTCAAATGGTCTTTGTTTGTGGGTAATTATGCTCAAGCCAATAGGTTCCACGCAAGGCACAGTGGTGCTTTGTTAAACAAAAACGTCATTTCTTATCAATATTGAGTTGTTGAATGGTGTTTAGTTGTGTTGCCTCTTCTAACGATACATTGTTGCTCTGCACATCAGCAGGAAACATGGGGCAAAGCTGCTTGGAGATGACCCTCAACTTTAAGTAGAGAAATCTGGAGGCTAGATCCATGATTTTGCTCAGCTGTAAGCATTCTTCCCATCGCAAAACATAAGGGTGAAGTTTCTCTGCATGATTTTGTTGATTGATATTTGTTATCATCGTCAGCAAGAGTGTTGTGGAGAGACCTTAATACTGAGCTACGTTAGGTTCATTTACCTTTAAAAAAATTTAGCTTTTGCAGGTAAAAAGAATCATGCCATTTGTAACCAGTATTAAGAATTTCTCATCATGAGCTTCAAGAGAGCAGATGCTGATTCAACAACTGCATGTCCAGATATAGAGTAAGCTTTATGCAAATTAACGATTCAACAACATTTGGTTCTTTTGTGAATGATGTAACAAGTAATATGGTCCCTTGGTGAATCTATAGATTAAGGTTTAGGCAAATTATGTCATCAGCTGATCTGCCCTTTGTATTTTCCATTTTGGTTTGCTATTACAATGATCTAGCTTGAACTGACTTTTCATTTTCAGCATTAAGGGTGAAGGGTTAGATATGTTAGAGGTTTAGTGCTTTTGGAATGAAGGAAATCGAATGTGTTGCTTCTTCGAAAGCCACAGTGGTTCTGTAAACAAAATGTCTATCTTATGTTAACACAATATTCTCTCTTTGAAATCCCCAAAGGGACCAGCTGAGATGTGTATTGATTGCCATTTGATGATTCAAGTGATTATAGGATTTCATTTTGCATAATAGCTTTTGTTAATGTTCGATCTGTTCTTCTCCCCATTAACTCATTGTCTTCTTGCTGAATCTTAAGCAGAGGTGGTCAGTTGGATTGCATCTCTGACCCTATTGGATGTCTGCTGTTCTGTGATGCCCCAAAAATGTACCAGACCGGAGATCTCAAAGATTATGGTAATTTTTAGCCTTTTCTTCTCAAGGATTATCTTTCACAAGTTTTACAAAATTTCCCTTCCGGTATACTAATTGTCAAATCGAAATCATCGTTTCAAAAAACTACACTGAAGTTCTTCGAACTTTAGATCCGCTGGAACTTCATGTCATGCCTCCTGTTATTGTGCCATTTGGTTGTTCGGCTCTCAAAAGCTTAATTTATACTTGACTTCTTTTAACTGCGCTTCACGTTACCTTTAATGTTCCAACATCTTCCGTGACTTCTTTGTTCATTTGCAGAAAAAGTTACTCCTCCAAATTCCTCCATGACTGCATCTCCGTTCTCATGTGGTTCCCCGCGCTTCTACTCTTGCTTACCAGTATGTATTTCCTTTGCTATCTCAATTTCTTAACTTCCTCTTGCTAACCACGCACTCCATTGGTGCCTTCTTCTCTTTCGGATATTAAACTAAAAAAAACTCGAACTATTTTTCTGAGTTGCCTTACCTAACCTGCCTTAGAACGTTATTTAAGTTGGGTTGCTTAAGAACAACTCTTACAACTTCATAATGAGTTTAGTTGAGTTCTAAGCAATATATTAACCGTTAAATGGATGGGTATGAGCCTAGGTTTTGAGTTACATTTTAGTATTTCAGCACATCTATACGATTCAATTCCCTGTCAGTCTCAAAGTAGGGCCCTGATTCAGTGTGTGAATACTATTCCTCCTATTATTGGATTGCTTTGCTTTACAGTCTGCATCAATTTATGATTCATTGATATGAATGTTTAATCACTTTGCTATGGATGTCCTCGCCCGTCTTATCGGTCATTTTTTAGTGTCTTCGATCGCTGAAACAATAGCAGGGTCCAGGAACTCTTAAACCAGCCACTGCTGCAATTTATCACTTCCCACCCCAGGTTTAACGTTTGATAATACGTCCATTTCTTTGCCATAACTTGAAAAATTCTACTGAATTGTAATTTCCAAGATAAGACCCTCACATTGTATTATTTCTTTTATTAATGTTCCTTATCTTAATGTTGATTGTTAATATGAGACATTTTATCTTTTGTCTTTGAAAATACATTTACCGTGAAATGGAAACTTGCAAGGTATAGCTTGCTTTCAAACAACCTCAACAAAACAACCCTCCAACATGGAAATTTCACAAATCCCATAAGCTAAGAAGGTACACGTACACATACTGCATTGTTGTTGCCACATCAAACATATAAACAACTATCAATGTGATAAGCTACTATTGACAACTAAACTCTCCCTAAACACTTTCTACAGCTCAGTGTACGTGGCTGATGAAACATTGCAGGTTACATTCCTCAGTAGTCATGCAGTAGCGGCTGTATTGCTTCATACAAGTCCTTGGCGTGACCTTCTACATTTGAAGTGGAAAAAACTTACCCAAAGGACGAGGCAGCAGTTATGCTGCCAATATCTACAGACATCCACATTGTAATTAAACCCAGTGGCCTGTTCGACTTTTTTTCTGTCACGAAATCCATGTAAGCCGCCTACTCTGGTTTTTAAGAAAGCAATCCTGCCATCACAGACTGCTCTAGGTATCCTCTATTAACTGATTGGTAGCATCTCATTCGACCAAGTGCTCTTCAGTTTGCTTTCACTTTTGCATTATCATTCGTGCTTTACTTAAATGTGTCTCTCCTACATATCATTCTACCATTCGTGCTTCAATACAACAATTTGGAGTTGGAACCCATTGCTTGGGTGTCGGTTCTATCACCAAATATGCAGCAGAAGCAACAAATATTATTTTACTTGAGATATCTGATTCATTCTCCTCTCTTTTGTTTATTTATGTTTGCTTTCATTGTCGGCCAGGTTATTGAGAAATAAATCTAAATTTGGGACCTTGGTGGTTGTGATTAGTTCTCTCCATACTGAACTATGTTTGGTTCATTTATCTTAAAGAACTGTAATTTTTCAGGTAAAAGATTTATGGCATTTGTAACCTACATCAAGAACTTCCCATCATAAGCTTTGGAGAAAGGGTGATATTGATTCAACAATAGAAAATATTTGCCATCGAAGTAGCCCCAACCAGGGTTATGCAATCTTGATTTGATTGTTCTGTTTTCAGGTGAAGTGCACCACTGGAGCTCAGAGTTCTCATTGTGTTATGAACACAGCTGATGCACTTTGTGATCTCCTACCAGTACCATTTGCTATCAAATTTTTGAAGTAGGAGAGGTTGTCTAAAGAAAGCTGCCCTATGTTATGCATGTGCATTGATTTTATTCCAGTTTTATGCTCTGCATCTGCAGTGAGTCCCAAACTAATGATCACTACTCCAACCTCAGGTATTGCATCCCTTTCTCGGGTCTCGGTGAAATCCGGGATTCAGAAATCTGATCCCTTGCTTCCAGTCCCTCTCCATCTCGCCTGCCAAATCCCAGGTAACATACCTTACAGGTTCAATTCATTACTACCTGGTTGAAACTATTAAGTTTGTATGTTCTATCCTTTAATAATGCTGTTCAGTTTTGTCTGTTGATATTCCCTCATTTTCCATTGTTTAAGGTAATGTTTATTGTTTTCAATCTCATTGTTACTGTAAGAATCCAGTGGCCTGTCCTTAGATGTAGTGTTTTGCTAATTTCCCTGCTTCAGACTAGGGTACTTTATCTACTACTCTGTTCTTTTGTGGTTTTCTCATGTTCTGCCTTTAGCTTTGTGGTTCAGGTGGTATGATGTTAAACATTGTTGGGGATGCATTTTATTGGTTTAACTTAGTTTGATTTTGTTGGCTCGGGAGGTAGTGATGAACTGTAACTGATTAATACTAGGGAGAGACCAATTCAATGCAATTGTTTCCAAATGGTGAGTTCTCTTAACCATTGTTTCTGTCTTTATAAACGTCAAATATACGTTAAAAGGGTGTCTTCTTCTGAATTCTTTGTTGCTACACTTTTTAGATACTTGACGGTTTTTGTTTAGTCTTCACCTGCTATCCAATCTGATTGCTGATCTTAAATAGAGATGTAGGTCTGAAAAATGTTGAGTTTGTAGCGTTTTGTGATGTGGATGCTTGGAGCGTAAGTTTAATGCGTAATATGCTTTGTTCAACTCTTTCGAAGGTTGGTCAAGCTTGAATTCATATGTATTGATGAGATTTGCGTCTATTTGCAGACACTCCTGCATGGCATCACCCACAACACCTATCCATGTGAGGTCAAGAACATGCCCTGCAATAAATTTATATTTAGATGGTCTGTTCGTCTCTACTATTAGTACTCAATGTTGAGTGGCGCACTGTTATCATCTTTCATTTGTAGAAATTGTGTACTATTTTCGAGCTAAAATTATGTACTCACACAAGCGCGAAGCGTAGCGAGCGGGTCTTTGCTAGTACACTTATATTTACACAGATCGAAGATGAACAAATCTCCCACGGAGGAGTTGTTTTGGGACACCGCCGAGATTCACGAGATAGATGGCTTCTGGTACTACGCTGAGCGCATGAAACCCATGGCGGCCTTCAGGTCGCAATTCGAGTGCCGAAACGACGACGTGTTTCTCGCATCCTTTCCCAAAACGGGCACGACGTGGCTCAAGGCGCTCTGCCACACCATCCTTCACCGCCACGACCAAGAAGAGGAGGAAGAAGAAGAAGACATCTTGACGAAGAAGAACCCGCACCAAGTGGTCCCCACTCTGGAGTTTTCTTTCTTGCTCGGCCGCGTCCAGCACCTGCTGCTCAGCCCTCGTCGCCGGTTGATGCACACTCATTTGCCCTACAGTTACTTGCCGGAGGAGGTGACGAGGAGCCCGGCAGCGGCGGCGGCGGCGGGATGCAGTAAGCTGGTGTATCTGGCTCGGAACCCTAAGGACACCGTGGTCTCCATGTGGCATTTCTACAACCAGGTCCATAAAGGTAATTTATTAATTATACATGTCAACATATATAATAGCTGAAAACCTAAACTAATTAGAAGAAAGAGCTTATGCAATAATGCTAAATTAGAGTGCTAATTTATATGCTTTATGGCTAAATTCTCCAACTACAGGCTCAGCTGGCCCGCTCTCGGTAGAGAGAGCGGTGGAGAGCTTCTGCAGCGGGGTCATGCCTTGGGGCCCGTTTTACGAACACGTGCTGGGATACTGGGAAGAAAGCAAGAAGCGGCCCGATGAGGTGTTGTTTCTCAAGTACGAGGAGCTGTGCAGAGAGCCGAAGGAGCAGGGGAGGAAGTTGGCTTCCTTTCTGGGGAGGTCATTTCCCTCGACGACGGATGGATCAGGTGGTACTGATGATGATGACGAGGTGGAGAAGGTATTGTGGCGAAGCAGTTTCGGTCGGCTCAAGGAGCTGGAAGTTAACAAGTACGGTGCGGTCGGGGAGCAAGGTCTGCAGCTATCCCATACCATCTACTTTAGGAAGGGAACTGTGGGGGATTGGAAGAACTACTTGACACTGGACATGGCTCAGTGTATCGACCAAGTCACACGAGTCAAGTTGCAAGGGACTGGCCTTTCTCTCGACGATTTCTGATTCTCGTTATAATTTTAATGGTTACATCTTACTTGAGGGGTTCGAATATGCTAATCTCTTAGTTTGGTGTTGCATGTGTTTTTGTCTTTGTTTATCCTCAATTATTGAAGCTTGGTTGATAATTAAGTTGGTTGGACTTGGATCCATAAAACTTAAAAATGGTGTGCTGATAAGAGGGGATGGCTGGTTGGAGCAAGAGAAACAGTTTAATTCATGAGAGCCAGCCAATGAGTCACCAATCACCAGGAGCTTAAGCTTCCATGGATAACTGAATTTGAAGGTTCTGCTGTATATATTTTGGGCCAGTGTGCGCTTCTTGGTTTAGCGTTTACTGCACAGTGGAAAAGCTCTTTTAGTAGGGATATATGTGTTGTTTTACTTAGAAGCGAGTTTGGTTTTGTGATTGAGAATAATAAATTTCAACTAAAATAGCAAAAATCAGTCTGTCTTTAGAAGGTCGGAGTGTGTATACAATATATGAAATATTGTAGAAGAAATAATAAAAATAATTCTTTTATGGATCGTCTGGATGAATCAATTGCAATACGAGACAATTTGGTCAACTGTTTCATTTTACAAAATGAGTAATTAAAACAAGTCAATTTGAATTATCTGCACTAGCCTAAGACAATTGTAATTGCTTCAAAACAAATCAATTTGAAATTTTTCAGGCCAAATTAATTAATTCAAATTTTATACTGCGAAACTAGTCAATCTGACTCAATTATCTCAAGCAATTGTCCCGAACATGTCCGTGGCGGGTTGAAAACATGTCATGTACATGTTTGGGATGAGTTGAGAACATGTCTGAAACAAGTCAGGTACGGATTTAGAACATTTCTGAAGATGTTCAGGACGAGTTCTCCACATGTTTAGGATATTTCCGGGATAGGTTCTCAACATGTCTCGAGTATTTCCTGCATTTCCTGAAATATTTCGTACAGGTTTTTGACATGTCCCAACATGTATAGAATAGGTTTCCTACATGTCCTGTGCATACAGATACAGGGGACGGGTTTTCAACATGTCGTGGGTATGTTTGGGATTGGATTTCGACATATTTCGTACATGATTTGGCTAATTTTTTATTAAAATCATCTCTACATTTTAATGCTATTTTTTATTTATTAGGAAACAACTTTATTTTTCGTTGTGAAAATTATATCTTAAATTGGCATGAGCAATGTAGTAAAAAACGCATCTTAAAACGCATGTTTTGTCATTTCTGCTAGGCAAAATGCTTAAGTTTCTATATAAAAACGTATTATGAGAAAAAATGTTTAAAAAACGGTAAGAGAAGGTAAAATCGGTCAAAAACGCGTTTTTGATCCGTTTTTGTATGTTTCCGTTTGAAAGAATTTCAACCAATTTCACACCCTCTCTGTCCAGTATTGTACCCTGAAAAAACAGAGGTTAGCACTTCAATCCCTATGGTCAAATCAACCCATAAGAAGTCTTGAACCTTTCCTCAAATTTTGAGGACGATCCAACGGTTAGTTTCTCATGAATCCTCCCCTGAACGAACTGCTCAGCTATAGAAAAACATGATCGCCCCCTGGCTGAGCAACAACATTTCTCGACGAACCAAAAATCATACTAACGATCTGAATGGTCTGATAGGATCCACGAGAGTATGAAATGTGTCCTCCAAATTTGAGGACAATCCAACAGTTGGTGTTTTTGAAATCTTCTCTTGAACTTACTGCCTTGCTGCAAAACGAAAATTTTGCAGCTCCTCTATTCCTCTCGTCCTTTCCTTCTCAATTCCCCAGCTCTAACTTCTCATTATTTTGTGGTTTCTTCAAGGTTTGTTGTTAGTTCATAACTTAAAACTCATCCAAATATTAGGATGATCTCACCATGATGTAAGCATGACACATGACATGTTCAAGAGGGACGAGGATGTTACACCACGGTTTCATCAAGTACTTTGTTGTTTGATGTGCGACTTAAGTGATTAGTATTTACTAATAGTATGATTTCTCGCGTTCAATAGATGAAGAACCTCATATTAAGAAGTCTCAGTAATCCTATTTAATTTGACATCCAGATTGAAACAAAATGGCTGATAATAAGGTGTAACTGTTAATTGGTTATACTTTTTTTTTATGAATGAAGAAGCCTCATTATTATTTTTTTATTATGAGATATGACAATAGAATTTTAGAATAACACTTACCCTATAATTCCTCCCACCCAAAGTAACAAAATCAAATGTAAGAAATTCTAAAACTAGATAGAGAAAGGGCTTTTATTGCCACACTATGGGCAGCCTGATTGGCAGTTCTAGGGACCGCACAAACCTCTAACCCTATGTCTAGAGCAGCGATCATCTGACGACGGTCTATGAGCACCGGTCCTCCAATTACCTGGAGGTCTACTATACTGAGTTGCCACCCTCAAATATTCTGCATCCCCTTTATAACCATGTTTCCTATCATGCAGTATCCCCACGCCATCGAGCGTTCCTTGCTGCCGTCTCGCGCATTCCCAAGCCCATATATTTTCATCAGGCCATTTTTTATAGTGAATGGCGTGAGGCTATGAAGGAAATGCAAGTGTTGGAGGCTAACAGGACGTGGTCTTTGGTTCCTTTGCCGCCCGGAAAGAAGGGCATTACACCTAAATGGGTGTATAAATAAAATATCCAACTGATGACGAGGCTGAACTTTACAAATCTCGTCCGATGGCTAAGGGTTTTACTCAGGTGGAAGGCATCGATTATCATGATATTTTTGCCCCCGTTTCCAAGATGGGTAGTGTTCGTACCTTGCTTGTTATCGCAGTTGATCGTGGCTGGGTTGTTCATCAACTCGACGTGAACAACGCGTTCCTTCATGGTGACATGCATGAAGAGGTTTACATGAAAATCTCATAGGGTTTTGCAGCACCGGGTGATAACCGTGTGTGCCGTCTACATAAGTCAATTTATGGACTCAAGCATGCTTCTCGAAAATGGTACGCTAAGTTCACCAGTACATTACTTGGCATGGGGTTTTCTTGATCACATGCAGATTACTCTTTGTTCATTCGGCGGCATGGCTTTACTTTTGTTGTGGCATTGATCTACGTAGATGACGTGATTCTAGCTGGAAATGACATGGAGTTTATCCAACGTGTCAAGGAGGCTTTAGACAACAGGTTTCGTATAAAAAATTTGGGAGACTTAAAGTATTTTCTTGGGATTGAAGTGGCTCGTTCTTCGAAGGATATTGTTCTTAGTCAACGCAAGCATACCCCGGATTTGCTCCATGATGCTGGGCTTACCGGGGGGGGGGGGGCGTCCGAGTTCCTTTTCCATCGAGCAAATTCACCAGCTTACTCGGCCAGCTAATGATTCGTCCTCGCCCTCTTCTCCCGTTGATGATGTTGCATACATGTGTTTGGTTGGCCGTCTACAGTACCTCACCGTTACTCGCCCGAATATTGTTTATGTTGTTAACATCTTGAGCATGTTTGTTAATTCTCCTACTCCTTATCATGTTGCTGCAGATAGAGTTCTCCTGTTTACTTGAAGACCGCTCCTTGGGGTCACTCTGACTACCCCCACTATGCTGCATTGTGATAATCAGACTGCTTTACATATTGCAACCAATCTTGTGTTCCACGAACATACGAAGCATGTGGAATTAGACTATTCTTTCGTTCGAGATCATGTTTCATTGGGTTCCATTTCTCCTCAGAAGATCTCCTCACAAGACCGGTTGGCATAGATCTTTACCAAGGGCTTGGGTTGTGATTGGTTTCATCATTTGCTCTACAAGCTGGGCATTTGTAAATCTGCTTGCCCCGCTTGCCGCGGCCGGGAGGGGGGGGTAAAGGAGTACATGTTACTTGGCGTAGGGATATTTTGGTCTTTTGACTTGCTCTTTTTCCCTACTCGTGTAACCCTATGAGTTGTGTGGCATAGGGTTACATTACATATATATGTATTTCTCTACTTGGCTTGACTATAAGCTATAGAGAGAGCTGCGACTGATTAATAAAAACCAATCCGAGAAGGTTTTCCTTCTCCGTGGATTATTCTCGTTCATTCTGAATGAGAATACCACGTAAATTGTGTATTGTGTCTTTATCGCTTTTACAAATCTTTTCAGATTTTGCTTCCACCGATCGAATAATTAGTTCACAATCAAACAATGTTTTTGATTTAAGAAATCAGCGCTGATGATCAATCCACCCCACCAATTTTACATCACTGATAATAGCTGCATCATCCATTCTCGTTACTCTTCGTTACAAACAAATGTAGACCATCCTCTCTAGGACTGATTAACAATGAACGAGGGAGGAACCGATTAAATATCAGTGTTATAAACGCGCTGCTACGGATCGGGAAATCGCCGGAATCGACAAACAAGAATACGAAAGCGAGAATCTTAAAAACACGACACACGATTTACGTGGTTCACTAACACAATGTGTGTTAGCTACGTCCACGGGCGAGAGAGAGCCGATTTCACTATATCAAGGAGATTACAGATTACAGAGGAGTATGAGAAGTATTTATAGCACTTCTCCATGTGGGTCTAAACCTAATCCAATCTGACAAAGGAAACGGTTACAGACCAGGCCCAGAACCCGAACCCAAATAACATTGAGCTCATACACCATGGGCCGGGGGCGTTGACCCCCGATTACCAGTCGTAGCGGCTGATAGTCCGATTCAAGTCATATCAACAAATCTCCACCTTGACTTGAATCCTCTTCCTCTAAAAATCTCTGATGTACTCTGCTCCTTCTCTCTCTCCCGCCATCAATGCCCCGTAGGGCGGAGTCACCCACTCAAGACATTCAGCAAGTCCAAGCAGTGTTGGAACTTGCCATGTGGAACCGGCTTCGTGAACATATCACCAGGATTATCCGCGGTGCCAACCTTCTTCACCTTAATCCTCTTCTCTGTCCTCAAGAAATGATACCTCACATCGATGTGCTTAGTCCTCTCATGGTGGACTTGATCCTTGGCCAAGCATATTGCACTCAAACTGTCGCAATACACCACTGCCTGATCATGATGTAGACCCAGATCACCAACCAGTCCCTTCAACCATATTCCCTCCTTAGCAGCTTCTGTCAACGTCATATACTCTGCCTCAGTAGTAGACAATGTCACCGCCGACTGCAGAGTTGCCTTCCAGCTCACTACAGAACTCCCAAGAGTGAATACATAACCGGTCATCGATCTCCTTGTGTCAACATCTCCAGCATAGTCCGAGTCAGAATACCCAGACACCAAGCACTCTGCATCACTTCCGAAGCTAATCCCCACATCAGGTGTACCCTTAAGGTACCGAAAGATCCTCTTCACAGCCTGCCAATGCTCCTTTCCAGGTTGTATCATGAACCTGCTGACAACACTAACAGCATGTGCAAGATCAGGTCTAGTGCATACCATAGCGTACATCAAGCTACCTACTGCACTAGCATATGGGACTCTTGACATGTACTCCTTCTCAGCCTCTGAT